AGACAGTGTGTGTCCATGTAGAACGTATCTCCTTCTGAAGTAAGAGACTTTCTTATATGCTAGGTTTATGAGGAGTGCAAGTAGGAAAGCTTACCTTTCTTGGCTATCTCAGAGTTCTCTATTGTGGTAGCATCTGGAACATACATAATCTCTCCCTGTAGTACTTTATGAGAGATTTATGCCTAAACAGCTGTTATAAATGTCACTTGTAAAGCTTTTTCTATATTTTGACTAAAACTGATAATTGTTGGACATCAGTAATACTAACCCAGAATTTATCCATCTCTCACTTTCTTTGCTTGCACGTATTTTTCTGATCCATTTTTTCCCTTTTGTACCTTCTCCTTTTTGCTTGTTCTAAGGAGAAACTTGACTTTTTACTTGATCATCTAAGCATTCAGCAGCCAGAAATCAGAGTAAGAAAATTTCTTGCTTTGTCTCTCATAGTTTTTTCTTCCACCGTAATAATAAAAATCAGAATATCTCATGTGTTTGGCTGGAACTCCTTGTCTCAGTGGTTTAGCACTTCATTCCTGAGCCAGCGAAGTATGCAAGTATATATTTAACTTCCAGCATGGGATCCGTCCCCTTGCTTGTTTTTACTAGATTTTTCACTTTTCAAAGTTAATCACGTTTTTAAATATTTTCGTCCAGAAAGAAAGTGGTTAGACAAAGGAAGAAAAGTCTGTCTGAGACCTTGAATCTGGTGTGCACTGAAAGCAGAAGAGTAGGCCTGGTATCCAGAGTCTTTACCCCCATAGGTATTGTGGTCTAACTTCTACAGAACACATCCATCCACGCTCCATCCAAACTCTTCTCATGTTAAAGATCAGAAAAAATCTTAATTCAGTAACTTGTCATAAATGAAGCCAAACCAGAGGGGAATCTGTCAGGGAAGGAGGAGTGTAAATCACCATGTTCAACAGCATTTCGGTGTTTAATAACACTGAAAAAAATAAATATGTGAGATAGTAGTACAAGACAAACATGGTCCGTGGGTCTGCATACAGAGATTGTGAAGCATAGGCAAGAAGAAAATTATTAGACTTCAGTTTTTCTTTCAGCTTGGGTGTGCATACTTTGAAAAAGACAAGAAATTAAATTAATCTGTTTATTTAGTCAAAGAAATGAAAAGCTGTCCTTCTGCTGTGAAAAAAAGTATTTATGAAGAGTTGTTTTGGATAGACTTTTTATTTAACAGAAAAAGAACTAATGTGATCTAGTTGCTGGAATAAAAAACAGGATAAAAGAAGACAAATAGTTGTGTTTGGGTTTTGTTTTTTTTAATTGACACTAATTACCTTATTATAAAACTTCTTTATAGGGTAACATGTTGTAAAATATCTTTAAATCTTAAAGATATAAAGAATCTTTAAAAAAAAAAGTTGAGTCATCTTTCTGAAAGCTGTGTTGTAGCTCAAACAGAAGGTACAGACTTGACGGAGGAAATGAAAGTATTTTGGGGAAAACGTGTGTGATCAGTTCTGTGTAGGAGGCCAGAGCAGGTACCACAAAGGACCATTATGGTCCTTTAAATCCATGAAGTGTACTTACTGTCTTAGTGAAGAAAATTAGATTTTTTTCTAAACTTTTTTTTTTTCTTTAGAAGAAAGCATTTGTGTCTCATAAAGTTACCTGATCTAGTTAATACGGTTTATAGCCACTCACATATGTACAGAATGTGTTGTATGTAGTTTGGAGTTGAACTAATACTTTTGCAAGAGTCAGATCCTTGTCCTTGCCTCAGCAGTGGTCTACTCAGCTGGAAACAGTTGTTTTCTATTGCAAGCAGCGAGCTACATTTAACAAATTTCTGTTCAATGTTTTGTTTGCCTCAAATGGAAAAGTAGCAGCTGCCAAGGTTCCCGAAATTAGTGTTTAGAAGTAGATGTTTAAAACTTCATTTTAGATATATAAGCAGAGATGTGTTCATTTATAGAGATGCTGAGAGCTTGTATTTGCCTTTGATTTTTAATGATGGCTATAGACTCTTCTGTTATATCACACCATCATTACATTTATGTATAGATATATATTTAGTTTGCTAAGTTCCAGACTTAAAGAGGGAAATTCAAAATAGAAATCTGAGTGGCATGCTATGTATGTGGATACTGTTCTCATAAAGAAAGTCCAAACTGACCTAGATAATGATATGACTTGAATTGTTTATTAGAAGAAAGTTAATCTAAGCATATGCAGTGTTTGGAAAAGGTCACTGAAAAGAAAGATTAAAATTTTAAGTTCTTGAATGTAAATAATGAACACAACTGTCATATGGTGTAAACCAGTAAATTATTTCATATAGGCTTCATTTGTATTAGTAAATAATTTTTATCCTCACCTCCTGAAGACCTTTAGTTGCTGAATTTAGCAATTTGCAAGAAGGGAAGTAGTTGTATAATAATTTATACTTAATAATATGAAGCTTTTACCTTTTTCTGAAAACAGCTTGAAGTTACCAGTAGGTGCTTATGTTAAGCTTGGACAATTCCCTAGTCGGTTGCCAAAATGACAAACTCGACTAGGATTTATCTGCAAAATCATGTGTAAGTTTTATCTTACACATGATAGCTGGCCTAGCCCTGTATGGAATATCACAGAGAAAATGAGGAAAGTGTGTGGGATTAGTAAGTAGAGGTGGGGGTGACAAAACGGACAACTGATCCATAGGAGACCAAGCTCTTTCTGATACTCAAAAGCTATTTGTTTTCACTAGGTATACTTCTAGTCTGTTTTGAGAATGTTGTTCCTATGTGAGGAGAGGTAGTTCTTTGCTTTATTTGGAACACGTCCATCATCTCTGCAAATGCATAGTAAGTGCCAGTGTATAGTCAGTTATGTACTGGGCTGCTTACTGGTTATGTTTAGTAGATAAAAAGGAAAATCCATGTTGTAAATCATTAAAAACAGTTATTATATGGGGTGCTTTCTTGAACAGATGAAAAAATGTGGGAATTTTAGGGGATAACTTGTGTTAGATTAAAAGTGGGCCTTTTAGAGGATGATTAGTATTTTTCAAAGTCTGATCAGGTTAGCAGAAGGTATTGGTATTGACAAACTCAGTGAAAATAATGGGGTACTGTCCAACTGTGTTAAATGTAAATCAGAAGACATGATACCGTAATACATGAGTATTTATGATGCCCATATTTATTTAGACAGTTCTTCGTTTAATAAAAAAATGTTTATTTAAATGATTACGTGACAGATTTGAATGTGCTACTGGGGATCTTGAAGAAAGAGGGGAATCAAATGCTTGGAATCTGCCAGGACTATGAAATTTATTGCTGGTTTATTAGTAGGGATTTATTTTTAGCTGAACATTATTGTAAATTATTAGAGACAGAGGTTTGGGGTTTCTTTTTTCAGTGTATGAGCAATGCCTTCCTAACTAGTTTATTTTCCCAATTTTTTTGAAGCCATGAAAAGTTATGAAATCGAAGTTACATTATTGCTGCAATGTTGGTTCTGCAAGTTTTTGAAAGTAAAAGTTTGTCACTAATGCATGCAGATAAATTGGCCAAATTGTATGTTTGTGGATCAACAGCTACTTCCATTCTAAAAGTGACTAAAAATAGAAAAAAATAAAAAAATTATAATGTGGTTCTAAAACAGTGGCTTCTCTACAAGCCTCCTCAAACAGAAGATGAAGTCATGCTTCAACTAATGAATTGTGTATATTTCTTTTTTCAAGACTTCATCCATGGGGAGACAGTAATCCACTGACTTAACTGGTTCATGATCACATGGCCTCATTTAGCTGTTGAGCTGTAGCTTAGCCTTGTAGTGAGAGAGGCAATGAACAAAGAGCTTCAGGTGTTGTTCTCCCTCTGGATTTCTTCTCATTGGAGCAGGCTTGTGACCTGCAAGCCTACTGCAAGCGTGGAATTGTGAATAGCATAGGAAAAGAGACAGCAGAGCATTGATGATCATATTATCAAACATACAGATAGAGACAGGTGGAGCCTTAGTTCAGATAAGTAAGTTCTAGGGGATAAAATTAACATTGTATACATTAGAAGGCATCCTACATAATAAATCCTGTGTTTGCAAAGAAAGGCTTTCAGTAGACTCTGAACTTGTTGAAATGTACTTTAGCTTATATATGTGCACGGCAAACAAGTGATTTTATCTTCTGCTACTCTTTTCTACATTAGCAGCTGAAAACCTAAAAAAAAAAAAAAGCTTTACTAACAGATAGTTTGAAAAGCTAACCAGTAGAGCACGTGATGGATTTATCTGGTGTATCTTTGAGTGATCCTATGGAAATGTGCACCTTCTAAAGCAGTGTAGCTCCTGTATAGCCAGTTTTAACTTTATGAATCCCAATATAACTAATTAAAAAGGAAATGTTTCTAGTAACAATATGTGAACTCACAGAATAATTAGGTTGTAATTCAATCTGTCAGCTCTGCTGCCATTCATAAACTCAGGGTTTATGAAGGCCTCAGAAATCTCAGATTGAATTACAGCTTTATTCTGTATATAATCTGGAATAATGTATATCTTAGCGTTTCATTTGTGAGACTGAGGATGTTTTATAATCCTGAAATCATTACTTAAATGTATACTTACCATAAAATTCAAATTTTACATTTGGAGAAAAAACTATACTGGAGTGCAATTCACAATTTTTTATTTAGACTTTACATCAGTTACATTAGGGCTTTCACTGTGGACGTTTATATGCATAAACTTCTTACTTTTCTTTATCTTGTGTGTATGTGAAAGATTTTTCTTACATATCTGTATTTCAGGTAAAACAAATGACTGTCTAGAGTGTTTACATTTTGTTTAATACTTAGTTTGGTTTACTATTGAAATACAATTTTACTAGTTGCCAGAAAATTACCCTTCAACCTTATTTATACCATTTTCCTAACACAATAAAGTCAGTTATGGAGCAGAGCTCAAAATATTTGCATATATACTGTATTTACAGATTTTTATTTTAGGACTTCATTCTCTCAAGGCAGTTCTTAAATATTCTCTGTCCTCAGGTTGCTGAGTCAAACCATGAAGGACCATTTGGTAAGAGTGGCTAATGAAGCAGAATTTATCTTGAGCAGGCAGAGAGCAGAGGATATTAACCGCCATGCTGAATTTGAGGTAAGAAATGAAATCTTTAAAAAAAACACAACAAAAAAACCCCAACAAAAACCAACAACAATAAAAAACAAAACACCAAAACATAACAAGCCCACTGTGTTTCAGGATTCCAATGTGTGATATGGGCTTTTCAGGCACAGGAGGTTCCATCCTGAAAAGTGCTTTGCAGTCGTAGGGTGCTTTTATAGATTGCCACTAACTTTGATGGAAAAACAGGCTGTGCAAGAGCAGCTCGGAACTTGTCAGAATCTGCAAACCATAGTTTGTGGGGGAAGGCATTTTATCATACCAATGCTGCTCTTTTCTGTGAAGTAAATATCACTGTATATGTTAAAGCTGCTTAGCATCACAGTCAAGATATAACTCTGAAAAAACCACCTTACTGAAGATAAATGATAACAGCCTGTTAAGTGCAAAATGAAAAATTATTTTGTTTTCTTTTTGTATCATTTGCTATTTCACTTAATACATCTCTAAAACCATTTTCCTTATGTTTTACACACCTCAGCGTGGTTTTGTTATGTTTTTGTATTTTCATCTCACTTAAGGGATTCTAAAGTGAAATAACAGTCTTTGTTTTTATAGGCTTGTAATAAAAATACAAGCCTTCTTTCTGAATCACTTTAGTCATACCTCCAATTTTGCATCTTCATTACATCACATATCTCCTTTCTCTGTGCTTTAATTATTGGGTTGTTTAAATGAAAACGAAGCTAAATCTCACTAAATTCACTAATATTCTGCTTAAAGAGTACTTAGTCTTTCTTCTGACATGTGATACTACTTGTGGTTTTGTTTTTAAAATGAAGCATTAAAAGATTGAAGGCACATTTGTGCTTAACGTATTTCTAAACTGTTTTTCTCTTAAATCTTTACTTGAAAAAATACTCCCCAAAGATGAAAGCATATTTGTCTTAGACAGTGCTTATGTTCTAAAGGTCATCTGTGTTGGCCCCAGGATTCAAGCTGTGTGTTGTTTAATAACATATCTGCACTTCATCTAGAGCTAGTTACCCCCTCCTGCAAACAGAGATGTTGTAAGATATCTACAGTACCATTTTGCAATGGTGAAATAGCAGGCATGTTTCATTTATTACATCAAGGGTTTGGCGACAGTCCTGTGGAGATGAAAAGTGCATCTTTTTACTTCATTGCCTGATAATCATTGGAGTGGGACATGCTTGACATCTTTTGCTCTGGATTTATGCAGAAGCTCCATGCATGACATGGCATTGTTGATTAGATGGACAGCCCACTTCTTTTCTTGAGAGGCAAAGGTGTGTGTGTATGTGGGAAACCTGTGTGAAGTAAAGGGTTCTGTCATGTAAATGTGGGCTATCGATAAATACAGTTGTTGAGTGACAACTTCACTGTTAGCCTTTTTTCAGTCTCAAGACACCTTTATGATGTCTGGAAGAAATTTACACTGAGCATCAACTTACATTTTTAATATAGCTCTCAGTTTTGCTGTGACAACTCTCTAGGATAAGAGTTGGTTGATACTTTTTTAAGTTGATGCTGTTTTGAATCTGTGCTATCTCAGTATGATGGCTCAAGGGGTTTAACACAGGTTGAACTTAGAAGCTAGTGTACTAAAACAGCAGCAGTCTGTACACCAAGTTTAGTTTTGTTACTGTGTTGGAAAAACTTAGATCTAGCATCACTTCTGCAGGTGTGCAAATTGAGGATATACAGCTATTGGATTGTACCAAAGGCTTAAATAACAAACCTGGTGTCTCATGAAGTTAGCATTACTGATGTCTGTGGCAGACTTCAGTCAGCATTATGTTTCTTTTGTGGAAGGGGGAACCATTAGTCACATCCATTCGAATCTGCAGGTATCACATCAACAATCAGAAATTCCTGTGTACGATGTTCGTCCATCCATGGTATGGTCTAGTTTTCACACGTCCTGTCAAGTGTGCTTGAGTTGTTTTAGCACAATGGTGCTTTTTAGCCATGGTGTTCATCATAGCCTTTTAAAGTGGTGCTCCAGGCCATAGAAAACTTGCCATTCTTCTGTCATGCCCAGAAATGGATCTGTCACTTGACTAGACTGGAGCCATTCCATCACTCAATGGGAATGGATCTGTGCTGTGTTGGGCTGCTGACGTGCTGTGTATTGCAGTTGGTAGCTATGTTCCCATTGTATGAATGGGTGTTGATGCCTGTGTTTTGGTCCTAACACTCATGTCATGACACACTTACAGGCATGTGACAGGAATGACTCGCAAATAAGAGAAAAAGGACTTTCAAAACAATTGATACAGCCTTTGATCTGGTTCATTTCTCCAACTTGAGGACCTATAAGGAAGCAGAGTAGCAGATGATGAGCCCTAAGCTGAAGATTGTTTTGGCTAGCCTGACTGGTGTGATGGGGTCACCTGCATGCACCCGTTTCCTTGATTTGCTGCTTCATCTTCCATCTATTCTTGAGAAATGAGTTGGAATGAAGATGGTTTTCTTCCAGTGGTGAGAGAGACTCTGCTTGGTCAGTCCATTGAATGCAATATCCCATCTGCCATGGCATATGTCCAGAAAAGAGCAATTGTACAAGGAAGCAGATAGGCTATACTTTCATAAATTCTGTCTTACCATATAGAGATCAGCAGCTCAGAGACTTCCCTAACCAGAGGTTACGTCTTTAATAAATAGTGTTGTGATTTTTCTGCTGTGAATTTTTCCAATTCCTTTTAAAGTTTGATGTAAATATTTTGCAGCAATAATGTCCTAAGACGCGGAATTTCCCTCCTGTGATAGTTGAAGAAAGTGAGCAGATTCTGTGTACAACAAAAAGATTAAACAATTTCTTGGAAAATAGTGTGATCCTATAACATTTAGCCCTGAAGAATGGTGTATGCAAATGTGGTTTTGATCACATTTGAATGCATTTTGTGATTGTGGTAATTACTAGTTGCAAAGCTGCAACTTTTTTTAAAAAATGGTTGAGATGAGGATGCGTGGCTTGGATCAGAAGCAAGCTTTGCCACCTGAGCTATGGGAGAAAGGAGATGAGGCTGGTTGAGTGAGGGATAAAGATCCAGAGACAGATGAGAAATGCGGCAAGAACTGTTACCCATTTTTCATTTTTATTCAGACTTGCATTTCTGGTGTTTCAGATCACATGTGAAATATTCCATGATAATATTGGGTCAGCAAAAATCCAACCCCAAATTTCTTTTTAAAGATCTGTAGTTTGTTTACTGCTACCTGGTTTTAATTCTCCCATTTCTAAAAGTCATGACAAGGATGAGCCTTGCAATATGTGTGTCAGGTTTTGGACAGGTTTGCACCATGGTGATAGAGAAATCTAGTCTTATAAAATTTTCTGTAGAACACTTTTTTCTTTTTCCTTCTTTCCTTTTTTTTGTTTTTTGAAAGGCAAGGGCAGTTTTAAAAGGTAAAATATCTTGTTATCATTTAAAACTGAAATCTCATATTTGGGTCACAGAGGCAGGAGAAAGCAATGGGAAATTTAGACAAGCTTCATAACAAAGTTCTGTAGTTATATATTATTGTATAGTATTTGGTTATAAATGGGGTAAGGATGGTCATCGTAAGAGGATGGAAAGGAAAGGAAAAACCTAGGAAAATAGGTAATACTAGGAAAGGCACTGTTGTGCTGAACAACTGCACTTTAGAAATGTGATGCAAGAAAGTATTTGTCATTTAAAAATGACAAATTTTTATTTGTATTTTAAAAGTTGCACAGGGTCCAGAGGGGAAGGTACCACTCCTATTTGGTTCTTAATTCATTGCAAGTACAGGACAGATGTTTTCCTTCCAGAAATGCATTGAGAATTGTCCACCTATCAATTCTTTCACAGCCAGGAGGAGACAGAGAAGCAGCAGCAAATGTGGCACATGTTCACTTTGCCACATAAGGTCTGACTGGGCCTTTCTTTGCTATGTCTCCATGTGGTGGGACCCTGCATTGGTCAGAACATTGAGAGGAAAGTGTTTATACCCTTTCCATAAAGTAGGATGACCAAAAGCACAGGAAGAGTCTTCAAAGCAAGGGTGGGTTTTTTGCATACTGTTCCAGTTTGTGCTGTAACTTTTTAGATATGCAGGAAACTTTGAGTACCTGGGTGAGACAGATTTAAATTAAAAGGATTTGAAAAGAAATCTTTTCTCTCCTCCCTATGTCTTCTCAAGGCAACTCTCTCTCTTTCAGAAACTTCAAATAAAGTGTCTTGAACGGCAGCAAAATCTGCACATCCACTTTGTGTCTGGTGGCAAGAAAGGCATCTGTCATCTTGGCTTGGCTATTTTTCTCTTTCTTCCTTTTTGTCAGGAGTCTCTGTCTCCATTTGCATTGCAGACCCCTCCTTTGCCTCTGCAGTCCTGTACTCCAGAAGCTTCTTCAAACTGGAGGTGCTCAGCTTCCCTTATGGAAGATGCAATCTCCCACCCTTTCTAGAGGGCTCTACCTTACAACTCAGCAGCCTGGACGAAGGCAAAAATGTCTTCCTCTGGTGCCTGGCCACTTCTTTTTTTAATAGGAGATAATATAAGTAACATAACAAATTATGAGCAAACCAGTTATGCTGTCTTTCTTCTAAGCTGATATTGTAAAAAAGACAGAAAAAATTGCTTTGGAGGTGAAGGATTGGTTGTGAGAAGTTTTTCTATGGCTGAATACAAAGGTCAACCTTTTAATTTCTTTTTTTTTCCTGATCCTTTCTTCACCTGTGTTTTCACTGTTACCTCTATGAGTAGTTGCATCTATGAATGTAGATGTATGGGGAGGTCACAGGGAGACCCGAGACGTACTTACCCATTTTACAATGTGATTAAGCCTCAGAGAAGCCTGATGAAGCAATATTCCACTCATTTCTCTAGTGAGGTGGCAGTGAAGCACACGTTTTTACAGTGAGTGTGGAAATGTGAGCATTCCTAACATAACCCTTATAACCTTAAATTTTGCCCAGTGTCCCTGGGATTTATATGCACAGGTCTCTTACGCATTTTTCAAAATCTCACCCCGAGTGTTTGGT